CACCACTAACATTTCTCTGAATCAGTTTTTGGATGACATTGTAAGCACTCGTTATGAGCCAGGCTATAGGTGAAGGTTGTAAATGATATTTCTGGAACTTGGAATGTCTCGTCTGACCTGTTAAGAACGCTTTTTAAGAAATACACAGCCTAACCGTGAATTTTGTGATTAGTTTGCGTGATGCGTTCTTGTTCTTGTTTTTTATTTGCCGAAGCTGATAAAACATTTTGAGAGAGAGGGTGATTTTGGGTCGCTTGCTTTTACATATTCTGTGTCTAGCAGCAGCAGCAGCAGCCGCCGAGGCCGTAACATTCTTCTTGATGCTGGCAATGTCCTTTGCCTGGTAGGTATATAATGGGCGTTTAGTAGCTTTGACTGTTAAGGCTGAGGGCAGGTGATGCTCTTTTTTTTTATTTTTTTTATTTCTTCAGTAAAATGGAGAGACAGATGCATATAAGAAAGGTATGCAAAATTGGAAAATTCGTTGCCCTTGAATCTTATTCTTCAGATTGGGTAGCATATTCCAACATATCATGAGCGGAATCTTTTGTGCCTATCTAGTCGAAGTTGAACTACTATTAATGGTTCGTTGGCTGGAAGGAATCCTTTCTGCTTCCTTCCCTCTCCACTGTGTTTCAACGTGTGTGTCACTTGGTATCTTTCATATTGAAGTAAAGGTAATTCTAATAGTAAGAATGGGGCTAGGAATTCACGATTGACCACCCAAAAAAAAAAAAAAAAAAAGAGGTAGTAGATTTTTACATCATTAGCAATAGAAATATTTATTCTTTAACAACAAATAGAAAGCAAGAACAAATGTTAAAAGGTATTTTAAGACAAGCATGTTTTTTTTTTCTTTCAACTCCTTGGAAAACACCAAGAGAGATACGTAAATCAAACATAAATTTCAGACCAATCGTCAAAAGCCGGCAACTTTTGACGACGACTCAGGAGACTTAACTACCCATGTTTGACAAGCATGTTTGATCACCAAAATTATGTATTTTGTTTTCACCTACGTCATTAGTGACGCACATCTCATAACTTTTTGGCCAATTTTCAATTTATTTTCTAGACATGCTTTTAACTTTTAATTTTAAAACATAATTTTCTCAATTGTTTTTTTTTTCAACATTTAGATTTTCTAAACCTAAAAAGAGTCAGAAATTAAAAGTTACAAGATGGTTGCTTCTTTAGATTTTAATTTTAACTTTTCAAAAGATCAGAATTAGCGATAGCTTTTCAATATATTCTTACTGATCGTAAAATTTGGGATTAATACGACAACTTACTCACAACTCATGTGGATTAGTGCTAGTACAGTAGTATGAGCTTAAGAATGGACTGCAGCTATAGCAAGGCCAAAACATGGCTCTCAAATTCTCATTCATGATACGAAAAAATCAATCACCCTTGGGAGGTGAGATTTAATACCCGAAGGGCATAATTGTCTACACAAACAAAATCTAAGGCGGCGGAGCGTCCACTTGTGTTTGTGTATATATATATATTATAATAGTCGTAGTTTCAACGCTAGGAGTAGGTATTATCTCTACTTCGCTGTCGTGTAGGCTGCGTAAAAAGTTTGGCAGTAGTAAATATTTCCACAGATATAAGGGGGGGGGGGGGTTAAAAAAAAAGAAGGGGCCAGCAGCTTCGCGACCTATTTAGGGTTTGTCTATTTCTATTTATCCAAATCGCTTAGAGTAGTCATCAATCCTAGGGTTTCAGAAGAAGAAGAAGAAAAAAGAAGAAGAAGAAGATGCCGAAGAACAAGGGTAAGGGAGGTAAGAATAGGAAGAGAGGAAAGAACGAGGCCGATGATGAGAAGAGAGAGCTAGTTTTCAAGGAAGACGGCCAGGAATATGCTCAGGTTCTGAGGATGCTCGGTAACGGCCGTTGTGAAGCTATGTGTATCGACGGCACCAAACGTCTTTGTCATATCCGTGGTAAGATGCACAAGAAGGTCTGGATCGCCGCCGGTGACATCATCCTCGTCGGCCTCCGTGACTACCAGGCACGTTCCTCTCTTTTCCCTGGCCTTTTTTTTTTTTAATATCTGATTAATATCTTTACTCCTTGTTTGTGTTTTCAGATCTTAATAATAATATTTCCTATACTGTTTTTTATTTTTTAATTGTTCCCGTTGCTGGACTTTTCTCGATTTTGATATGAAATCAGCAATAGTTGACTGCCGAAATTGTTTTGATTTGTGACGGTATGCCCTTTTTTTTCCCTTGTTTTAAAAAGTCTTGTGGCATGGTGAAGCTTCGGTGTTGCATAATTCGTAATTCAACGTAATTAACTAAACCCAAGTTATTTCCTTTAGACGGCATGAATTTTTGTACTAGACTCTAAAATTGGCGAATTGGATGTAAGATTCAAGTCTTTGAAGTAAAAATGTATAAGTTGGGGTGAGCTGGAGTGAACATGTCTGGTTTGATGCGAGTCTGCATAGATAGCTTCTTGAGCACAAAGGCATGGAGTTCCGCTTAGAATCAAATAGGAATTAGTGAATTCAATCTAACCCGGGCAGGTCAGTTTACTTCCGTCAGGGTGGTTAAATATTTTGGCGTGGGCTTATCCTATTATTGTTTATTGTGTGTGTGTGTCTTTTAAGCCTATGTAGTCAGAAATTTATCTATTGGGTTGTGAACTCTTTTTTTTTTTTTAATTCCTGGACTTTTATTGATGGTTATCTCACTCTTCTTCTTGTTTTTATAAAATATACAGGATGACAAGGCTGATGTTATCCTCAAGTACATGCCAGATGAGGCAAGGTTGTTGAAGGCATATGGTGAGTTGCCTGAGAGCACTCGGCTCAACGAGGGTATTGCTGGTGGACTGGACGAGGAGGATGATGGTGCTGGAGATGATTACATTGAGTTTGAGGATGAGGATATCGACAAAATCTAAACTCGTGTCCACTTCAACTTTGTTCTGAGGCCTTTGTTTGCCTTGGATTATAATTAGCTTGGGATATTATTATTTAATAGAAACTGTGAGGAGAGGTATTGATTGTGTAATGTTTGAAGTGATATAATGAAAAGGGTGCCTATGCGTTGTAGCTCATGTACCCAAAGATTCTGCTTTGGCAGCCTGGTTACAATAATAGCACGTTAATTTACATTCATCCATTATCGTGATTGTTGTGTGGTGTCCCTTTGTGCTTAAGGTTGGGTTTGCCTCTTATTGAAGCATATGTAGTTTCCAGTTGTTGGTGGATTGTGGGCATCACATTTACTTTTTGCTGGTTATTGAGGTAGTTTTTGCCAGTGGTTGGACTTTAAAGGGGTTATCTTGGCAGAGACCAAATTGGTTTCAGCCTTGATTTACCCATAAGTTGTTTACTTTGAGGAAAGGAGGTTACATCTTTCGCTTTATCATGAGCAGGTAAATGAGTGCTTTGAATGCTTGATGTTTTCTTCTTCTTTTGCATTTGAAAAAGATGTCTCATTTTGCCTGTAAGGCTGTACTACACATTTAATACACGTGGATGCTGGGTGTTTTAGCATTGAAATTGTACTTGATTCTGCCAACTGTTTGTGGTGGGGTGAGGACAGTTTTGTCGTCGCCTGTGTTTCGTGATGTCAACTAGTAGTAGCTCTTAGGATCCCTTCTAGAAGTTGTAGGCTGGGTTGCATGCGACATTGTTCTACCAGGTTCATTTGGTTAATTTAGTTTCATCTTGCTCCTGTTCAATCATGTCAACCTTGAGTCTGCTCGTGCGTTGCTCAAATTTTTGGAGACAGGAACCAAACCATCTAGATCTGTATGTATTTAGGAAGGAATTTTTAACAGAAACCCTCTCAACGGCTTCTAAACTTCTCGTTCTTTTTTTTAGAATTTTATATTTATTTTAATACAACTTAGAATTTTATATTTATTTTAATACATAAAAAGTAGTGGATAACCAACCTTATTACCAATTCATTAGAATGTGGTAGAGATGTTCCGACATATGATTGTTTCACCCCCCCCCAAAAAAAAAAAAAATAGTAAAATATTTAAAGTTAGCGGCAGGAAGTTCTAAGCCAATTACCTACTTCAATTTTGGTCAAGTTTTGCAGCAAAGCCAGAAGATATCTAAAGAGAGCACCTAATTGCTGCCCATTTTAGGAAATCCTGGAGCTCCCAAAGAAGAAAAATAGGGTGACAGGGCTGGAGTCAAGCTCAAGCAAACATTGAAGCCTCCCCCGAAGGCTCAAGTAAAAAGTCACTATTCCAGTGATTGCAAAGAAACTAGTACTGGCACATGAGCTACAAGCCCCGTGTTAAGTTGTCGGATGGCCTACGGGCAGCTATTCCTACCAGACATCGGCGTCTGAAATGTTGTAGAACGACCAACTGCATTATGGGCCAACAACTATGCAGTGCAAGAAATTTTCAAGCTACTTCAATAACAGAAGACCAAGATACAAATCAGGATCAATGAACTAGTAAAATGAATTCAGGTCCTATGTACAAATCCTAGCGTTCATGCAATTAAGGTCAATGAGCCCCAAATTCACTTAAGAAACCAAGAAAAGAAAAAGGGTAGTCTGATCAACAAAATTTCTTAATCCACCTTTCAACTGATAAGGAAGTTCAACAAATTAAAGACAACTAAAGAAATAATCTCCCTGTTCACGAGAAACAGCAGTGATGTCAATGACCAGCAACTCAAAAAATGTTGATCACCAGAGAGCCACTAATATGGTATCCTACAAAAGCTGAATATGGGGCTTGATACTCTCTCAAGCCAATTATTGGTTTAGCAAACCATTGGCACTACCAGAAGGGAATTCCCATCTGCTTTCAAAACAGAATTCGTAAGCAATGAGCAAATTCAACTAATTGCTCAAACAAATTGGGTTAATGATCAAGAACCACCAAAAGGGCAGATATGGTAATGTTTAGAAGCTTTTGCTTGCATTAATCCGCTTAAACCACAGAAATTCCATGCCAAAAAGACTGGAATCCTTAAAAAATTCACTGTTCCTTTTGGTGGAAAAGGATAACAAAATTATACCTGATTTACATTACAAGTCAAAAACAAGCAAGAAGTAATAATAATAATAATAGGAAGAACAGTAAATTCATACTATGTACAAAAGATCAATGCAGAAAAACTGAGTATTCCAGAAGAGACCAAGCAAAAGCTGATTTGCCCTATTCTCCATCCCTTCATTTGCAGAACACAACCAAATTGCAACTGTAACTTGCCCACTGACAAAGTTTGGAGTTGTTTTGTTACATTGCCACGCAACTTTCAGCAAGTGCAGTTCTCTAGCACGAACAGAGCTGCATACGGAGATTTATAGGCATATGTTTCTCTCAGGTGCAATTTAGGATCTTCACATTAAAAGCATTCTAGGTAATTTGATAACCATTCTGACAATGAACTAGTGCAGAGATGACTAAAAAGGCACTCTTCTTCACAATGAACTCAATTACAGAAAGACCGCTCGTAGCAAGAAGAGAATGCACATATTTGTAAAGAAAGTGAAATTTGAAAATGCACCATAAAATAAATAGAACCAGAAAATTCAGCAAGAAGACAGTAAATGCAGTAAAAAGAAACCCAAAAAGAAAAAAAAAACAATATTACTAAGTAATAAATAAAATTTCAGGCGATCATCTAAGTTTTTCCTTGCCAGAACTCCTCTTGGCTGCTTCCTTAACCTTCTCAAGATACCCTTCAATAGGAGGTGTCAAAGTAGCCATAAATCGATTCGCCGGAAAGGGGGTCAAATCCGGGACCAAAGCAGCAGCCTTCAGACCCTCAGGTAATGCCTCAATAGCTTCTTTCTTACACCTCAAGAATGCAGACTCAGCAGCCTGTCTAGCTCTATGCTTCCTCATCAGAACCCTGCTATACTCCTTGGCAAGCCTTCTACCATCCTCAACAGTCAACTCATATTTAGGAATCTTGTCGGCATCAACCAAGCCCAGCGTAATCAAATCCAATCCTGGGGTACCCATAAAAAATGGGGAATCAAATTCATTCTTCATTTTCTTCCATTTCTTCTCCTGTTCTTCCATTACCTTACTTTTCAGCCCCATCTTTTCTCTCTCGGCTTCCCTAGCTTTTTCCTTAGGCTTCAAGAATCTAATTGGGGAAGTCGAAGCCAAGCACTCGTCGACCAATTCATCAAATTCGGATTTTCTTCTGGGCCCACCATCTTTCTGATTCGAATCACCCGACCCAGTTCCTTTCTTGGTTGTTACCTTCGATCTCTTCAATGGCTGTGCTCCTTTGATTTTAGATTTCCCTTTTGCAGTTCCGCTGACTAAGCATCTTTGCAGAAATTGATAACTCAAAGACTCCAGACAAGCGTATGATGAGCCCAAAGATCTCATTTTTCTAGCCTCAGCTATTCGCATCATCCTTTTGCAGTTACAAATGGTCCAATTTTCTGGGTCTAACGGCAGCGAAGGGGATGAGGGACGGCGATTTAGTTAACCGAGTCGAGGTTCTCTGAGGCAGCCGAAACCCCTTCCCATTCGGCAAAAAGTTTGCCGCTTCATAATACCCCTCGCTTCAGTCCCTTCAAGCTTCATAAACCCCTTGCTATTGAGGACCGAATATTTTAGGAATTCTGTAAATGCCCCAGTGCAAATACCTTCCTTCGCTTCAGCATACACAAAATTCCCTAATGTCAAAAAAAAGAAAAAGAAAAGTGTGCCGTTTACAAAATTATCTTGGCATAATTTATATTTCTCACGGAAATATAAGAGAGCAGAAGTGTTAGCAAAATAGTCTGGAGACTAAAACTATGTTAATTTCTTAAACTATCAATCTAAACAGGAAAATAGTTGGTATATCATCCTTACTATAGAATACGGGGGAGAGCCAATTTTGTCCCTAAACTTTTTTATTAGTGTCGATTTAATCCCTAACTTTTATTGCTAATTAATTTGATACGTGAACTTATTTTGCGAAAAAAATCTTCATGACAGCGCCACCACCTAAAAGCAATCTGGCTCCTAATTGGCCAACTAAACAGGGGTATGTTGGGAACGTCATTTACAAAGTAGTAATAAATCAAGTAAATTATGTAAAAAAAAAAACCATTACATAAGACTTTTAAATCGTTTAAAAAAATCACCAAATAAAACTTTTTTAAAGTTCAATCTTGTGATTTTTTTACACGATTTACTTGATTTATAATAACTCCGTGAGTAATGTTTCTAAAATATCCTTATTTAGTTGGTCAATTAGAAGTTCAATCCGTTTTAGGTGGTAATGCCACCATCGAAATCTTTAATTGGAGCTACAAAATAAGTTTACGAATCAAATTGGTTAAAAATAAAAGTTTGGCATTACATAGACACTACTGAAAAAGTTTGAGGACAAATTTGGCCACTTTCCCGAACATGAGTTAAAAAAATGTTTGGTGTTTGGATTGTAATTTTCTATCAAAAAATTTTTTTATATTCATGAACACATTTTCTAATCATCATTTTACATCATATACATTAAATCACTATAGTATATTTTTCTACAAAAACTCCAAAAAACAACAATCCAAACAAGATTAACCCATAAAGGTACATTTGATAAGCTGTTAATCTGCAGGCTTGGTCTATACTCTACAGACAGGTTGAAGAAGATATTGAGAAGCAGAGGTTTAAGTATACCTCTGAACAAGAAATATACAAGCTAGAATGAATGCTGAATCATTATTAATAGATATGCCAGTGTTACAATACATGAGACATCTATTCTACATAATCAAACCAACTGCCTCTTATACAGAAAATCTATTAACCAATTTGAGCCGCTGTTGGAATTATCAAGGCAAGTTTGGCTGCCAATCTCATGGATCTATTCAGTCCCAGCGATCTTCTTCTTCAAAGATTCAATATCTTCTGCCAATTCTTTCCTACTTGACTGTACAAGCGACAACAATAAAAGGTTTTAGATGAATAGTTCTACAAGTATCATAAGTTCAAACAAAAAATATTCTTATATGCATACTTGCAGAACTTGTTTATCATATAACATATCAGTTAGAGCAAATGATACTTTCTGTTCGCTGATATATCTGCTCTTACTGATATGTTATTTAGTTCAGATAATAGTCCTCCTACACACCTTGAATAGAAGGTACCGGTAGACAAACCATCCTGTATAACCAAGCCCTACCAACTCCAGGATCTTTGGGAGCTGTCAAGGAAACAGGAAACATTCAGGGTAAGGATAGAGGATTCAGGCGAATGCCCCAAGAAAATAAAGCTTCTTGATGGCTATTAAAAATTCCTTGAGTAAAGAGGTAATACAAATATAACTACTAAGAAAACAGAAAAAAAAAAAAAAAAAAAGAAGCAAGTGTTAATCATCTTAAATCACATACCAAAGGAACTGAGTTGATTGCACCAATGATAATTGAAGCCAGCCAAACTCCAACAATTGCCCCACCTCCATAAACAATTACTGTGGACTTGTTTTCAACTGCATCCCACTTTGAAAAACACAGAAGTAAAGCTAAAAGGGAAGTTGAATAAATGGAGAACTGGAGAATGAAGTCTCATGGAGCCGTGAAAATGTTATAAACAAGAGCACTGCAGTAACTATTATGCAAGCAAAACTATCAACAATATTGAGTTCAGCGAGAGAAGTCATGATGAAATACAATTCTTTTTTTGTGGACAAGTATGTGAAAAATGCAGACTGAAGGTAGAAAACTGAACATGCAAAGCAGCAGACTAGCTGAGTTCCCTGAGAGTATGGTGCTTCGGCACCAAGCTTACCTTTTCTTTCAGATCTGATAATAACTCAGTAGTGTCAACAGCAGGTGACTCCTCTGATGCTTTGACTTGGAGCAGAGTTGACCTCGATTCTGTTTTTGTCCATCATGAGGAACATCAATAACAGTTGAGAATTTATAGTACAAAATTCATGAGGGAAAGCAATAATAGCCATCAGCTCGTCCAGTTTCTAACTGAAATAGCGAGTATATGAGTTGTTTCTACCTATATGTAAGTTTGATAGGAAGTCTTCGTCTTGAGGAAACAAATATGGTTCATAAATTTTCCTTTTACAATTGAGAGTCAAAATAATCCTCGTCTCGACATTGCATTTTTGACAGTCAAGTTTTAATATCCTGCTGACTGATAGACAAAGAATCATCGGCAATCTCCAACAGTCAGCATACCAGGACTGAATGTAAGTGTGTTTGTCTTCTTGTTGAAGAGACATTTTTCCTTGTTAACTAGTTTAATGGTAAAAATAGTCATATCAACCTCTAGCTTTCTAATTCTCCCTATAATTTTTTTTAATATTCCCATAAATTTGTACAAAGTGAGGAACCAAGGAAGTCATAACTTAGTATGATGACCATTAATGCAAACAAGTATATTAGATCATAGCTCAGGATTGACATATTAAAATGACTTTAATTTGCTCTTGGATAAAGTCATCATAAAAGGCTTCTCTAGGTATAGTCCCAGCACTTTGGAATTCAATTACCAGCAACTCGTTAGCTTATATCTGCATGTTACCGCTCCAAAGAAGATCATCCAAGTATGCATACATACTCGAAATCACACAATCACGCCTTCCTCAAACTAAAAAGCCTTCTTTATGTATCATCCACGCATGTTAAGACACATTACCAATAGATTTTCAGTTACCAAGCAATTGTTATTGGAGCTAATGCATCAAGAATTGATTGGAACCTCGAATAGCTGAAAATCACGAAATTTCATCATGACCAGAACCATTGGACACTGACTGTGCTAAATGCGGTTAAAAGACAGCTGATTCTTGAGAGGTTTAAGACCAAGTATGTACAAAAGTGCACAAGGTGTAAATATTTGAGATAAGAATGGCTTTCACGAAGGGCAACTCCTAGATCTACATCAGATTCAAACAAATATACTAGTTGGTAGAGGATCATAATCTCAGAAGATCACATTTTTAGCCAAAGGCAAACCAATAAGGCTTGCTGTTATCAAGTCACATTTTAAGCTCGAAGCTAGCAATGAAGCTACCACAATTAAGTCATTTTACACATATAGGGTCACCCCTGCATATTTAGAGGCTACTTGTGCATTTTGAACCACAGCAATACCAGCTGAGGAGGATTCAGTAGTTGGGAATTCCAGCAAGTATTGCTCCTGTAAGGCTGCGGCTGCTAATGGAGTCTTTGTCCTAGAATGAATTTCAAGACTTGATTATCTAGACAGCCATCTACGAGTTTTTGCCGTTGCCGATGCTTCGTTTAATCCAATTTTGATATCCAAGTACAACATAAAAGGGTAAGGAGTAAGGAGAATCAAAATCAAAAGCTGGGAATCAATTCACAACTGATCTTTTTTTTTTTTGTTTACCAGTCCGTTATTTGGATCTAAGCTACAGAAAACACCAGATACAAGTCTCCAATTATTCAAACTAGCAGCATCCCATCTCACAAACATAATAGCCAAGAAAGTTAATCAACAAGAGAGTTCAACCAATTCCACAGCATCTGATCAAATATATAAGAAGTGATTTTGACAAAAGCCCTTTTCAATAACAGAAGAATAATACGTGCCTGAAAGTTTCTTGAATGAGGTGGAAAAAGCTGTGGAAGTGGACAAGCGTGGGGGTAAATACGGGAAAGCAGAGCAGCTAGTGGTCCAGCGGACCGGGAATCTTGAAGTTGAGACGGCTGTGGCCGCCATGGAAGTGGAGGCTGCTGCTGCTGCTGCTGCTGCCATTTGGCTGCCCAAAAAATAACCAGCCCCTCTTTCTTTATCTCTCTAGTCTGTACTTCTAGCAGGAAGAATCCTCCTCAATTGAGAGAGAGTCTTTTTTCTTTCTTTCTTTCTTTCTTTCTAGCAAAAAGGTAGTATTTTGTTTTCGTGTTGCTCAAAAGTCTCTCTATCCACAATATTTTCCCTTCCTCTCAATTCAAGAGAGTCTGATTTCATTGCGCGCCACGTGGTGCAATTGAGATTCCCGATTGGTTCATTCCCTATCTTCATAATCCCAGCATTTGGTCTTCTTATTTTCGTACGTTTTCTATTTTCTTTGTTATTGGTTGGAGGAAAAGAGATGTCTTAGTAAATCAGACCGGATTCATGGGTCGGCTTGGTTAGACCGGCCTGTCACAAGAAACGATCAGCAGCCTGCGTTGAGTAATGTCCGGTTTAAATCGGTTTGTGCAATTTTTAAAATTTATCTTGTGGCATAAACACATACAATATGGGTATAAAGTCAAAATTGTCAACTCATATAACTAAATACTAAAATTGTATTAATTTACACTAAATATATTAAGATACAAATTACAACTTATAATGCCCCTAACCCTAAAAGAAAGTACTCAGATACCTCTCTTTTTTGGGGTAAAACACGAAATCTTCCTTATAGGCAAAAAGTCTATGCAAAATTCTAAACAATCAAAGCAAGTAAGTATACACAATCTCCGAGAAATTCAAAATAAAGGTTTTACATCTATTATGAAGAAAAGAACAACTATATCTCATCTATATTCTTTTTAATTTAAGTCATTTAATCTGCATCATTATTCTTGTGCTTTATCTTAGAACTTGCAAAAAAATC